ATCTGTAAGATAGTTTTATAATGTTACTGTCAATTCATTCAGAGTTTTGTGTCAAATTGTCATATAATAAATTTTTCATAAAATAGTGTTTTTAGCAGTCTGTCGTCTGACAACTTGACTGGGTTGGCTTCAAATCTTTAACAAAGGTAATTAGAAACCATGCAGTTTTTATCACCACAACTCTGTAGCACAGCTTAGGATCAGGGAAGGTGATACCTCTGGAGGTTCTTTATTGTACAGGATTGTTTTAGCTATCCTGGGTTTTTTGTTTTTTCATATGAACTTGAGTATTGTTCTTTCAAGGTCTGTGAAGAATTGTGTGGGGATTTTGATGGGGATTGCATTGAATCTGTAGATTGCTTTTGGTAAAATGGTCATTTTTATTGTTAATCCTACCAATCCATGAGCATAGGAGCCTTTCCATCTTCCTATTGGAAGGAGGGGAGAAAGAGGATACTGTGGTTGGAATGTAACATATGTGAGAAGAATAAAAAAAAAGATTTAGAAACTATCTGACTTAGAAAAGATTTGTTGAGGCCAAGGAGGATGACTCGGTGGGTAAAGTTCTTGCCATGCAGGCATGAGAACCTGTGTTTAATCTTCAACACCCACATAAAAGTCATGATGGTCTGTACTAGAGATAGGGAGATCAAAAGAGGAGGATCTCTGGGGCTTGCTGTCCAGCCAACATAGCCAAACCAGGCAGCTCCAGGGCCCAGAGAGATTTTTGTCTCAAAAAATAAGGTTATTGAGGAAGACACCAAACATCAACCTCTACTCTCCACATGCATGCACAGATGTCCACATGAAACAGAGAGAGAGAGAGAGAGAGAGAGAGAGAGAGAGAGAGAGAGAGAGAGAGAGAGAGAGAGAGAGAGAGAACAAAAGAAAAGGATTTGTTATCTAGTATCACAGTCATTTGGTTTCTTGCTTTATGGAAATGATCCTGTGTGTGTTTGGTAGTGTCAGAGATGAATCCCCTGACTATCACTTCCTTATGCAATTTTCTTTCCTTGAGCATGGGCTGGATCTAAGGAATTACATTTAAGATGTACAGTATGGTGACTACAAGTAATATTACTAGATTGGATGTTTGAAGTCACTCAGAGTACATCTTCAGTGCTCTCTCTTAGATGTATGAAGTGAGAGATGTATTAATTAGATTAATTAACTCATTTAACAGTGCATGTGTACCTCAAAGATGCTGCACACCATAAAAACATGCAACATTTAATTGTCAATTATACCCTTCAAAATCTGGGTATAATTGAGAAAAAAAAGAATTAGCAAGATTAGGCTATGAACATACTGGCTTTTTTCTTCTCTCACTGGTTAAAGACACTTACAATGCTATGAGCTGCCCCGGAACATGTGACCGGGAACAGAGAATTGTCCAGTCAACAGTCAACAAGCAACTAAGTCCTTCAACAATGGAACACTGAACACTGCAGATAACTACGCAAGTGAGCAAGGTGAAGCCTACCAGCCGTCACTTCCCACCACTAAAATCAAGGTGTTGGCTGAACTTTCTGAAGGCTCTAGAAGAAAATCCATGTCCATGTCTCTTTTTCAGCCTCTAGAAACTTCTTGAATTCTTTGGTTAACACCATCCTTCTTCCTTCAAAGGCAAGAATAGCTAGCTGAGTCTCTCTTATCATGTCAATTTTTCACCCCCTCTCTGTCTCCTTTTACTAAAAAGCAATCTTGTGTTTATGTTTGGCCCACCTAGCTAGATGATCTCGGGAAAAAAATCTCTTCAAGCGTCATTTAAGTAGCAGCCTTAATTTCATAGGCAACTTTAATTTTCCCCTTTTTGTGTGCTATAGCGTATTCACAGTTTCCAAAGTTTAAATTGGGGCATCTTAAATGTTCTCACCACAGTTGTTGACTATGTGATATGATGGATGTGCTAATTAGTTTAATTAAATCAGTTCACAATGCACACATATATCAAAACATCATGCTGTATTCCAGAAAAATAGAGAACTCCTATTTGTTAATTAAACATTTTGAAAGCTGATGTTAAGCTTGGTGTGGAGGTGCGTGAATTAATCCCAGCACCAAGAGGCAGAGGCAGGAATATCTCTATGAGTTCAAGGATAGCCTGGTTTGCATAGAGAGTTCCAGGGCAGCCAGGGCTATTTAGTGAGTGTAGTTGGTTTTTTTTTATGTTTTTTTTTCACTCTTTATTCTTAGGGGGGCTCGTCACCCAGCTCTCAAATAACCACACAGAGAGTTTTTCTTTCTTATGAATACCCTGCCTTAGCTTGGCTTGTTTCTAGACAGCTTTCTAACTATCCATCTATCTTTTGCCTCTGGGCTTTTATCTTTCTCCATTCCATATACTTTTCTTTACTTCTTACTCCATGGCTTGCTGTGGAGCTGGGTGGCTGGCCCCTGATGTCCTCCTCTCCTTCTCCTTTTCTTGCTCCTCGATCTTCTCTTCCCAGATTTCTCCTCCAATGTATTCTCTCTGCCTGCCAGCCCCACCTATCCTTTCTCCTGCCTCACTATGGGCCATTTAGCTCTTTATTAGACCAATCAGGTGTTTTAGACAGACAAAGCAACACAGCTTCATAGAATTAAACAAATGCAACATAAAAGAATGCAACACATCTTTGCATCATTAAACAAATGTTCCATAGCATAAATGAATGTAACACATCTTAAAATAATATTCCACAGCAAGTGAGCCCCTACCTCAAAAAAAAACTGACTTTAAAGAAGCCATTATTCCATATACCAGACAAACCATGTTTTTGTCTTGTTTTGTTTTGGTAGGAATGCTGGAATGCAAGGCCTTTAGAAGTTAAGAATGTTTGCTATTACTGAGCTATACCCCAACCCCCACAATAGGAACTCTTTATCTAACATTATTTTAAGATTAAAAAAAGTAAATGGGTATGAATCATCAATTATAAACTATCATGGCTCTTGAAATAAATAAAGCTTTACATAATGAATAAATGGAAAGGCCTTAAATTATTTTTTGAATATTCCAAAGTTGCAAATATCATGACATTTTGTTCAAAAATGCTGTGGCACATATTCTATTACCATAACACAGCTGAGAAATTTAACATTGGTAATTACTAATTTAGAGTCCCTCTTTGTCAGAATTCCCTTCCTATCTCAAGCATGTCCTTTACAGATAATCAAGTATCACTTATTGCATTTGACCATCATGTCATTTTACATTGTTTTAAATTCAAAGTCATGCTGCCCTTTTGCTGTTACTAGCACAGATTATCCCCTAGCCTTGAAAGCAAGCAGTCCATGATATATGTAAAACAATATCCTGGAAGCCACTGGAGGGGGTGAAATAGGTTTGGGATTCCTGCCCATGCCCTCTTCAGATAATTCATTTGATATGTCCAGCAGCTCCTTGGAAAATATCTATTTACAGAAATTTTGTTTTGTACATCCATTTATTTAAGGGCATGTGGGGGTTGTTCGTGCATGTGCACACACATGTGCAAGAAAAGCACATGCACACACTCTACAACATGCACGTGACTGTCAACTTGAGGTTGGTTGTAGAATGCAATGGTGGAGAATTAGGTTTGGGGAAAAATAACATACAGATACCTTGTTGCCCCAAAGAACTTACAGAACTTTCAGTTGGAGATGAAAAAAAATGTTTTTTTTTTCTGTTTGCTCATAATTTTAGATGGTGAATAATAAAAACATACAGCTCTCTCGTGAACCTCCCAAAAATATAAATTTAAAAAACTTCCTTAACCCCATCTCTACCTCTTGAAAATAATCATGAGTAGAAGCAGATGCAGAGATCCACAGCCAAACACCAGGCTGAGTTCCAGGAATCCAGTCGAAGAGAGAGAAAAGGGATTCTATGAGCAAGGGGCATCAAGATCATGATGGGGAAACCTATAGAGACAACCGAACCAAACTAGTGGAAACCAACATCTATGGAGCCTCCATGGGACTGGACTAGGCCCCCTGCATAAGCAAGACAGTGGTGTAGCTTGATCTGCTTAAGGGGCCCCCTGGCAGTAGGATCAGGATCCATCCCTGGTGCATGAGCAGGCTACCTATGGGGGGACACCTCGCACAGCCTTGAGGCAGTGGGGAGGGGCTTGGACCTGCCTCTACTGAATGTACCAGGCTCTGCTGACTCCACATGGGAGGCCTTACCTTCTTGTAAGAGGGAATGCGGAATAGTTTGGGAGGCAATGCGGGAGGGGCTGGAGGAGGGAAGAGGGGGATCTGTGATTGGTATGTAAAATGAATAAAAAAATCTCCTAATAAAGAAAGGAAATAATCATGATTTATAGTTTAGTATATACCTGCCTAGAACATGTAAATACATGATTTTTTTCAGTTGAATTAAGTGAGATCTTCGCACACAATACATATTGTATTATTTTCACACTCAGGGTCTCCAACAGATGTAAATATTCATATATATTCTATACATAAAGTATGACATATGTCAAAGTTAGATTGTATGCCATTTTGTTGTTGGGACAACATTTATTTAAGTAGCCTTCTACTATTGAATATTTAGATTGTTTACAGTCATTTGTTATTATTATACTATAGTGAAGAGCCCTGTGTATTATCTTTCTGCAAACCCCTCCTTCTATGCCTCCTTCCATTCATTCCCCTTCTTGTTTTTTTGATTTTTCAGTTCTGGTTATTGAACCCAGGGTTTCATACATGCTAAGCAAGTGCTCTACCACTGAACCACACCCCCACCACCTTTTCTTGTATTTTAAGGTAGGATCTTGCTACATAGCTCAAGCCAGTCTCAAACTCATGATCCTCCTGCCTCAACTTCCTGAGTAGCTGGGTTTAGAGGCAGGCACCACGAAACCCAGTAAGATTTTTTTTCTCAAAGTGGATTGTCAGATCTATGTAATTGACACTTATAGGGTATATGTAATTTGAGTTTATATAGCTATTACAGGGCTAAAATGAGATCTAGCTGTATTTTCTAGTTTCCTGCCTCTCCCACCTTGCACTTGTGTCTTTCACAGGATCACGCTGACATTGAGTGGAAGTTTGCGAGAACGAAGCTCTGGATGAGTTACTTTGATGAAGGTGGTACCTTGCCACCTCCTTTCAACATTATCCCCAGCCCCAAATCATTCCTCTATCTTGGCAACTGGTTCAACAACACCTTCTGTCCCAAAAGAGACCCTGATGGAAGACGAAGGAGGCACAACTTGAGAAGCTTCACAGTAAGACCAAAAAAAATCTGTTTCTCTTTACACAAAACTGGTTTGCTCCTTTCCCTTCTTCATGACAGTTCCTATCTTAAACTCTGTAAAATCATTCCAACTAAATGCTCTTGTTATCTGTCAGTCAGAAGCCACTGCCTCACTACATTCCTAATATTTACCAAATCCTTAGGGTGGGTGAATGGGTAGGGTGCTGGTCAACTGATGTAATCTCTCTGTCCATTTTGAATTACAGGAACGCCATGCTGATAGCCTGATACAAAATCAACATTATCAGGTACTGCTTACGCACTGGGGTGGGGCTAAACACAATAGTTCTTGGCCAGTTCTGTGGAGTAGAGAAGCACACTCTACTTTAGCTATGTCTGGACTTAACTTGGGTAGGAGCTCTGGAAAGACTGTAATCCACTCAAGACGTGAAGTAATTCATCAGGGTAGAGTCACCTACCCTATAACCCTGTTCATATCCCTTTAACACTATCTCATCTGGATGTAAGCCATCCATACCTTAGAAAGCCATCTTCCTTGAAATTCAGTAGCAGACATGCAGTTGTTCAGTCAACAAGTAAATGAGTGCCTACTGCACACCAGGCACTAAGATACACATTAGAGAAATCATTATGGAAAAGCAAGACATAATGTTTGTACACCTTAGAAGCTTATTATCTCTCAGGGATGGGAGATATTACATCATTAAAACTAATAAAATTAACTGGTTAGAAGGGTAAAACTTGCTGTGAAAAAAGCACATACAGCAATGGGAATACATAATAAATAGCAAATACAGAATAAGAGGAAGTCATCAGTAACTTCAGTGAAGTAAAATCTTTTTTTTGTTGTTTTTTTTTTTGTTTTTTTTTTTTTGTTTTTTTTTTTTAAACCAGAACTTTTTTTTTTAAAGATTTATTTATTTGTTATGTATACAGTATTCTGCCTGCATGTGTCCCTGCAGGCCAGAAGAGGGCACCAGATCTCATTACAGGTGGTTGTGAGCCACCATGTGGTTGCTGGAAATTGAACTCAGGACCTCTGGAAGAGCAGTTGGTGCTCTTAACCACTGAGCCATCTCTCCAGCCCCTGTTTTTGTTTTTTTGAGACAGGGTTTCTCTGTGTAGATTTGCGCCTTTCCTCTGTAGTAGTAAAATCTTCTGTCAGGACACAGGTCTCTTTAAATTATGAACATGACTTTAATCAAAGGAGCAGATATGTGCTTCTTATGGGACCAGCCAGAAGACAGCCAAACACAAATATGTGAGATTTTAACTGAAAGTAATCATTGAAAATCACAGATAAGAGACTATATTTAACCTTCTAGATCAAAATCAATGCAGAGTAGGGGATGTATCTCAGTTGGTAGGGTGCTCAAAACTATACATGAAGTTCTGGGTATGATCCCCAACACCACATAAACTGAATGCAATGGAGGCCAGAGTCGAGAGTTCAAGGTTATCCTCAACTATGTAACAAGTTCAAAGGGCAGTTTGGGTTACACAATACTTTGTCTAAAGAAACCCAGACAGAAAAACATTCTACAAGGTTTAAAGGAAAGGAAACTCAACCCTACTCCACAAATAGCTTCCCTGATTTTGTTCCTCTTAGGTGTAAATAACAAAGAGGAACACAAAGCACAGTATTTCATATTCTGGTTTTTTTTTTTTTTTTTTTTTTTGGTTTTTCGAGACAGGGTTTCTCTGTGTAGCTTTGCGCCTTTCCTGGAACTCACTTGGTAGTCCAGGCTGGCCTCGAACTCACAGAGATCCGCCTGGCTCTGCCTCCCGAGTGCTGGGATTAAAGGCGTGCGCCACCACCGCCCGGCCTTTGTTTTTTGTTTTTTGTTTTTTTTTTTTTTTGGAGTATTTCATATTCTGAATGACCCTTCCCTCACTACGCCTACCTCCAACTCTAATAATTTTAGAAAATGGTGAAACCTAGGCAAGATTCATCATCTTTATCTTCTGCTTCAAACATCCTAACAAAAGGAAAAGGCAGTCTCTGAGCATCTCAGTGACTGACAGAAGTTCATCGAGTAGCAAAAGTAGTAGCTGCAGCATTGCTGTTACGATAGGCTTTGGAATCAGCTTGAAGGAGAACTGAAGTCTAATCTTTACATTTCCTGGCAGTGTGACCCTGAAGAAGGCAGTTAACAACACGAAGCCTCAACTTCTTCATGTGTACACTAGGAAGAATAGTAAAAGTTCAATTACAGTGTAGTGGAAATTCAGTGGGGATGGTGCCCAGCACACTGCCTGACACATTGCAGTAAGTGGCGGTGATCATCAACACCAACCTTGCAACAGTTCCATGTTTCATCGCTCCTGAGGCTAATAGAGGCATTCCCTCTAAAGGTGAAGCGTAGATTGAGTTTATGAAAAATGTCTGGATCACAAAATTACTAGCTCATGATGGGTGGTGATGGTGCACACCTTTAATCCTGGCAGTTGGGAGGCAGAGGCAGGCAGATCTCTTTGAGTTCCAGGCCAGCCTGGTGTACAGAATGAGTTGCAGGACAGCCAGGGCTACACAGAGAGACCCCGTCTCGAAAAACAAAACAAACCAAAAAAATTCCTAGCTCATTTAGTGACAGTCAACTTCATAAAGAGAAAAATCCTTTATTTCACTAAAAGTGCTAAAGATGAATCCATCCCCAAAGAATAGATATTGAATATGAGCATTCAAGGGCTATTGTACTCTCATCACACACACACACACACACACACACACACACACACACACACACACACACACACACACACACACACACAATACATGCTTACCTTATGCTTCAATAGAAATTCTTCCTTTGGGGTAAATTTAATGGTATTGCATACTCTGCCACCAAAATTCAGAGATGCAATGACTTATTAATCCAATGAACTTTAATTTTGGGGGGCAGCAAACTGCTAGATACTGTGAGGATTTCCTATTGCAAAGATAATTTAAGTGAGTTTTCTGAGCAAGTTCCTTATTTACCTGATAGTCTGAAAAGGAAACTGAATACCTTTTCATGGTTTTTCAATTCCAGGAAGTTATCAGAAATTTAGTCAAGAGATATGTGGCTGCAATGATAAGAAACTCTAAAACAAATGAGGGGCTAACAGAAGAAAATTTTAAGGTAATTTAATCATGAAGCAGATAAATCTCTCTCTCTGTCTCTCTGTCTCTCTGTCTCTCTCTCTCTCTCTCTCCTTCTCTATCTCTCCCCCCTCTGTGTTTTCCCCTGTCCACAGAACCTACATTCAAGCTCTAATTTCTTGGTATAATTTAATCTTCATAGAGTCTGAGAATCCTGATTATGGAATTCCACCTTTCTATAGTACAGAAAAAAATGAATTACAATTCTTTCTTATTCTTTAAAAAAAAGTATTCTTTATAAAGTTTTAAAAAAAATTGAGTTTATCTTTTTTTTAAGATTTATTATATATACAGTGTTCTTCCTGCATGTGTGCCTCCATGCCAGAAGAGAGCACCAGTTCTCATTACAGATGGCTGTGAACCACCACGTGGTTGCTGGGAATTGAACTCAGGACCTCTGGAAGAGCAGCCAGTGCTCTTAATGTCTGAGCCATCTCTCCAGCCCCTATCTTTATTTTGTGTGTATGGGTGTTTTGCCTGCACGTTTGTTGCCTGCAGGTGTCAGATCCTCCTGGGAGTGGAGTTACAGGTGGTTGTGATCCAACATGTGGGTAGTGGGAACTGAACGCAGGACCTCTGGAAGAGCACAGTTCTATTAACCACTAAGTCATCTCTCTAGCCCCCTGCAACTCTTATTCTGTCTTAGAATTATCTGTCATCCAGTAGGTGGAGGGAATTTTTTTCCTTTTCTAAAAAAATAATGCTTGTAATTGAAATAGAAAATGACTTTCTTCCTTCCTCCTACTGCTCCAGCTACACTCCCTCATATCTCTCCCATATCTCCCAACTCTCAAGCTGATAACTTCTTTTTCTTTGATTTTGTACTGTCTCATACGTGTGTGTGCGTGCACAAATATATAAAAATACAACTTTTTGAGTTTTTGCTGTTTGCGTTTGTTTATATGGTTTCAGGGCTGACTACTTTGCACTGGACAAGCAATTGGGGGACTTATCCCTGGGAAACCTTTACTCTCCTACCAGCAGTTACTATTGCCTATATATAATTCTGTGTGTCGGGTTGGGGCCCCATGAAACTTTGGGTTGAGAGGTTTTTATCAATGTCTGTCACAATCAGTCTTATGACCAAAATGAACATTCCTGCATATCATTTCCTTTGATATTACCAGTGTGAGAATAGCATGCTTAACTGATGTAGCACCAATGCATGGGAAGGGGTAAGGCAGCAAACAGAAAATGCCTGAAGACTTTAAAGGCCTTCTTTAAAAGATGGACAATAAAGTCCCAAATATATAATATTAAATTTCAAGTCTAAAGAAACTACAATTAAATAGTAGAATTTTTCCACTGTTGGTATCAGCCTAAAAGAGTGATTCTCACACAGGGATTTGGCTGTCTGGAAATGTTTTAAGTTATCATACTGGCATCTAGTGGGTACAAAGAGCATTGCTACTAACCATCCCACAATTACCAAGACAGCTTTCCATCATAAAAAACTATCCTGCCTGACCTGTCAGTAGAGCCTAGAAGAAGAAACCCTATCCCAGGATGCATGATGCATGCACAGACACACAATAAATAACACACCCCTATAAGGCACACAGGAATTCTATTATCTTAATCCACAGATGGAACTTATTTGTTGAGGACCATTGTCCCAATCACTTTGCTAAGTTATTATTGTGTGTCAGTTCATGGGTACAGGGAGCATCTGGGGGCTGGGAGAGTTGGCAGAAAGGAAAAAGGAGATGGAGAGGTAGCAGGTACAGAAAAGCCCTGTAGTCCATGATACAACATTTATAGTGTTTCCTAAGACAGAGACATTACTAAGACATTTTAAGCAGGACGATGACATGATCAGATTTAAGCTTTAAAAACTTGTAAAGGAACAAGTGAATGGTATCCAAGCAGCTGGAGAGAAGGCAAGTCATATGTAGTTGAATGACCCCATGCCCCATCCCAAAGCAGCAGTCTGATATATCACCTGATACTTCATTTCTTCCATTTCCTTCCTGGGTCCTAAAGGTCTTGTCTTCTTCAGTTGTCCTTTTATTTACACTCATGAGAGCCAGTACTACAACCAGAGAGCTTGTCAGCTACCACTTCATTTTTAACATTTTGTGCTGGGGGGAGGGGTGTTTTACCTATATGTATATTTGCCTGCATATATGTATGTGCACAATGTGTATGCCTGGTGCAGGTAAAAGCCAGAAGAGGGTGTCAGATCCCCTGGAACTGGAGTTACAGATGGTTGTGAGATGCCATGTGGGTGCTGGGAATTGAACCCAGGTCATCTGGGAGAGGAGCCATTGTTCCTAACTCCTAAGCCATTTCTCCAGTCTAGTTTTCACTTAGAGATTAGTTTCTTATGTTTCTGATCCACAGGTTCTGAAATCAAGCTTACCATTGCAGTTTTTCCATTGGTCACAGAACAAACAGTCTTTCTGTGCTTGAACTAATGAAAGATTTTTAAAGTACAATGTGTGCTTCATGATTTATTACTATGTAAAACTTAGCTTATCCAAAATTCCAAATGTCTTCTTTAAACTAAAGACCATTTTTCTGACAAAACATGTCTCCTTTCTTTCTCTAGGAATTAAAGCAGGACATCTCCAGCTTTCGATATGAAGTGCTTGACCTCTTGGGAAACAGAAAACATCCGAGAAGAAGCTTTTCCACTAGCAGCGCTGAACTCTCTCAAAGAGATGATACCAATGATGGCAGTGGTGGGGCTCGGGCCAAATCGAAGAGTGTCTCTTTCAATTTAGGCTGCAAGAAAAAGGCCTGTCACGGGGCACCTCTCATCAGAACCATGCCAAGAGCCAGTGATGCTCAAGGAAAGTCAAAAGCTGAGTCATCAAGCAAACGGTCCTTCATGGGTCCCTCTCTCAAGAAACTGGGTCTCCTGTTCTCCAAGTTTAATGGTCAGACCTCTGAACCTACTTCAGAGCCCATGTACACAATCTCCGATGGGATCGCACAGCAGCATTATATGTGGCAGGACATCAGATATTCTCAGATGGAGAAAGGCAAGGCAGAGGCCTGTTCTCAAAGTGAAATGAACCTCAGTGAGGTAGAGTTAGGTGAAATCCGGGGTGCTGCTGGGAGCAGTGAATGCCCCCTAGCCTGTTCCAGCTCTCTTCACTGTGCATCCGGCATTTGCTCCTCAAATTCTAAACTTTTAGACTCATCAGAGGATGTATTTGAAACTTGGGGAGAGGCTTGTGACTTGCTCATGCACAAATGGGGTGATGGACAGGAAGAACAAGTTACAACTCGGCTCTAAGTCAAATCCCCATCATCTATTCTGGAATTCAAGAGAAAATTTGTAATGTCCTCATTCTCAGAGGTGACCCCAATTTTGGTTCCCTCACGGTCCCCCCTCCAAGGAGTGAAACTCCTATTGTCTTCAGTCTTTTATAGCCACATTCCTCATGCTTTGTTTTATTGTTATTATAATTTGCCTTTTGATATCTCGAAATACTTAAATCCATCTCGAAACCAACTGAAGGGGCATTGCCCCTAGTCAGCAGAGGTGCAGTCGGGTGCTTAACCCCTTTGCTTTGCTGTTCTTACCCTTGCCTCGTTGACGCTCCAGGTGCCACTTTGCTACCATAGCTGCCGCACAGATTCCTGACTTCCCTCGGGATCTCACACCCATCTCCCCACAGAGCTGAGGGATATGGTCAGCAGTCCCTACCAGCTACCAGATAAGGCAAATCAACCTGCCTGTCTTTGTTGCTCTTCAGTGCTACACGCTGCCCATGCTGGTTCAATGAACAGCATGAAAGGGAGACTAGACTCCAAAGAATTGGCAGCTTGTGGTTTCTAGGTAGAACTAGCCTTTCTGTTTTGTTTTAAAACACTATAACTTCTAATTGTGGGGACTGTTGAGGTTTCGTTTCTTGAAGATGTGTTAGTTTCTTAACGTGTGCCAATGAGATATTTACTCTACAGTGCGTGTCATATATAATAAGTTAGCTGATTTCCTTTCCTGTGTTTGTATATTTCAGTTAACTTACATATTTTAAAATTTGAGAGTATCAAAATTAGTATTTAGGATGTGTACTTTTTTCCAAAACATCTTCTACTGCACTTTAACCAATAGTTACTACATCTCATACATTGGCAAGAAAAAAATATAATTAGCTGGCATATTTATAGGGTCCTATCTACTGTGGATAGTTTTAATCATCATTGATATAAAGGCATTTCTACGCCTAAAGACTGGATTTGAAATATTTTTTATCAGAAAAAATGACATTTTACTGAGGTATTTAAATTTAGGGGGAAAAGAGCACCTTAATTTAATGAATTGCTTTCTGGAAAGAAAACCTAGCAGATAACCTAATTCAGGTTGCAGCTGTAATATCCCCTGGGAGACAGGGGAAACTGCATGTGTGAACTGTTAGATATATAATGTAATAATCCTAGTGGATTCATAGAACTAAATTCTGCCTTCAAAGAAAGCTGCATTTATGCATTCAAACTCTTTCCCATAGCCCAGGAGTACTTAATCAGAACACAAGTTAAAAACAAAGTTAGGATGCATATGGTAATCATTTTAGGACTGACAACCACCAAACAATAGCCTGCTGAGCAAGCATAGTTTTATCAACATATGCTTGGCTTGTGGAGATTAACAATTTATATGGCAGAAAAGTAAAAAAGTTCGTTAGACATCACCTGTTCTTTTTAAGTGTCAGCAGCAACAAGAATCCGTCTACATTCTTGTGTGCAGTCTGCTGGACGTGAAAGGAATTGTTCAACAATGTACATGTGTCTGTAAACTTGCTTTGGACAGTGTAGTTTATGTTAAACTGACTTTCCACCTCTATCCCTAGCATTGGTGAATGATGGTAAAAGTGTTTCATGTGGAAAGGAGCCAAATTGGGGGCAAGGCAGGCAGGAAGTAGTGCTGAATACAACTCCGTACACAGAAAAGGGAATGACGAGAGTAAGATGAATCAACACGCATTTGGCAAGGGTTTGTTCCCAAATAGTCTTATCTGAAGTGCTCATTTGTTCAAATCCAACTGCTGCCCTACTGAGGGACCATCACAAATACCTCTGACACTGGGACAGATTCCTTTCTAAAAGGAAGAGTTCTAAAGTCACAATTTCAACTTTCCCAACTGTAAAACTTATTCTTACTAATAAATCAACCTAGACTACAACCCTAACTCACACCACCACCACCAAAGCCAACATATAACCATATAGTCAAAACATCTTTCTCACCAATATACAGAGTATTAGTAATCTAGGTGTGACTGTTGTAAAGATCAGAAAACAGTAGGAAGCCCCGAAGTCATGGTCTAAAGCAGTCTTCTCTCAGTAACGTTCTGAAGAGAGAGGAAAGACATTACAACAGCCATTCTCTGCCATCTAAAGACAGCAGTGCCGTATTTCTTGGGAACACATTCCATACCAGATCTCCTTAGGGTTATCATCTGTGTGACTTGGGCTTAAGATTTCACTAGCTATGCTGATGCCTCATTTAGGATAAATGTTGAAACTAAACAGCGATTGTCCTAAGTTCCATGTTGGTGATAGCAACATTTTTATTAAGTCTAAGATAATGCCAAGCAGAAACGAGAAAGACATCTTTCTACCCTGTCAATCAGCCACTGTTTACAAACATTTCAGGGATGGAGAACTTTCCTGACAGTCAGCCCTGAGTTCTGTTCCTGGTACAATTTTAAAAGGGTGGAAGGTTGGAAAGATGGCTCAGTGCTTAAAAGCACTCACTCTAACAGATGAACCAGATTCTATTCCCAGCACCCACAGGGCAGCTCAATCTGTCTGTAACTCCAGTTCCAGGGCATCTAATACCCTCTTCCAGATTCCCCAGGCACCACGCACACATGTAATACACAGACATATATGCAGGCAAAACATTTACACACATAAAAGTGAATAAGTCTTTTTTTATTTATTTTTTATTTATTTTTTATTTATTTTTTTTTGGTTTTTCGAGACAGGGTTTCTCTGTGTAGCTTTGCGCCTGTCCTGGAACTCACTTGGTAGCCCAGGCTGGCCTCGAACTCACAGAGATCCGCCTGGCTCTGCCTCCCGAGTGCTGGGATTAAAGGCGTGCGCCACCACCGCCCGGCAAGTCTTTTTTTAAAGGGAGAGGATTTGAAATAAAAATTCTTAAGCATGTCTTTTCACTGCTGAGAAGGTACAAAGGTAACTTGAGAGTACATTTGTAAGCCAGAGAGAGAGAGAACTGTAGAGAGGACCAACTGGATTCCAACCTCATAAAGTTGTTTTTTTTTAAAAAGGTAGCATCATGGTATCCAGAGAAGGGCACCAAGCTGGTCATTAAACACAAAATTTCTGGATTATAGAAACATTACCTAGCATATGTTATATATAGATGTTCAAATAAAATGCCCTCTATACAGGTGCCCATTGTTTTCATTTGTCTAAAATACTGTGAACTCCAAAGCTGAACTCAAATGTAAATTTAAAATGTACTGCTGCCAAGTAAAAATAACTATAAATACAAGAAGCACTTGTTCATTATATAACACCATGACTTCCTTCTATTACAATCAACTCTTATAACTTCTAGGTACCTTGGGTCCATTTGTTTGATACAATAATTAAAGTCTTCTTAATATTAAGGTAAGCATACACAAAAGTCTGAATTATATCAGAAATTACATCATTGTTAAAGCCCAGTGAAGTGCAAAAAAGGGGACGATTCTAAACTGAAAACCATTGATAAATTTGAGGCCAGCCTGGACTAGATAGTAAGACCTTATGTGAGAAACACACACACACACACAGTAGTGTAGTTTCTTATGGCTGGGTGAGTGGTTAATAAGAGCCCTCGCCTAACATAAGCAAGATCCTAGGTTTGATCCCCCAAAAGATCATTTTACATCACTCTTTTCTCCAACAAAATCTAGAAATGCAACTTATGTGTGAAAACTAGCTCTAAAAACTCTGGAAATCTCTTTTCAAATTTTGGATATTAGAGCAGAATTTCAAAAAGCAGTAGTTTCTCATGTAGGATCACTGTATTCATAAAGTCATCAGGCAAGATCCATATTAAGATTATTATTTTAAACTGTGCAGTGTCAAAGATTGCCTTTCCAAATATGGAGGAGGACTGGCTCTAAATTTTACCTAAGAAATGAGTCTGCTACAACTTTATGAAAGAGAAGAGCTAAACTAGGGGGTGGTACATATGGAAAGAAAACCAGATTACACATCTGTCATATTTAGTCCCATAAATTTACAGTTTTAAGTATATAACCTATGATTACAAATGAGTTCTATAAATTTGCCAGAACTTATACTTCAAAATGAATGACATCCATCAAGCAAATCATCTTAAATATCTGCACCTGCTGTGTGGTAGGGCACATACATACCTTTAATCCCAGCGAGGCCTGACTGATCTATACAGCGAGTTCAAGGACAGCTAGAGCTACACAGAGAAACTGTGTCTTGAGGGGAAAAAAAAATAAAAAGAAAAGAAAGAAAAGAACCTACACTACACCCATATTCTAATGATGCCACCATTAGTTACCATATTTTAGACCTCTACTTTGTAAGTCTTTCAATACCTAAAATACACTCTCTGAATAACCTAATAACACAAAATCATGATTCTACAAGATTTAAATTTTTATAAATGTTCAAAAATAAGTTGTGGTTCAAAAATGGTCAAATGAAGGGTAACCAACCCACGTACTTACTTAGTTTTTTTTTTTTTAAAAAGCAAACATTTTCAAGTACTGTAACAGGCACATTGGTGAGTTGTCAGTCCTAGAACCACTTAGTCAAAATGTATCCTATTATTTCCCAAAGATAACTTGTTTCCCTTTGCAACTTAAAATCAACTTTCAACATTCTTGGGAGTAGTGGCAGCTTTACAAAAATATAGTGCCTCCTAAGAAAAATTTAAAGGACAAGATATATAAGTAGAGAACTTCCACGGATTAAGGAACAATCAAGATTTAACCCCTGAAATCCTGGTGTTTAAACAAGGTACATGAAGAGTTCCTGTGGCCTAAGATCTAAACAAACTGACAACTGTCTTTCTACATCTTAGGTGATCCAAAAGAAACATTTTATTATGTACAGGTTATGGCAAGTGGGTTGTTAGCAAGGAGTAACCGGAAAAACAAAACCCCCTGAAGATACTACAGAATAATGGGAGCCTTTTGGACTGAACATTCATAGTGGCAGATGTAGTGAGACCAGGCTCAAATGGAAAGACGAAAGCAGCTAGCTCGGAGCAGCTGAAAATCTAATGTCCAATGTAGATGTTTCCATAGGAGATCTAATCGTTTTATTTAAAATACAGCTTCATCAACAGCACTATACTTCAACAAGCAAGGCAGTTGCCTGGAGTCGAACAAGTGACAACTGTACCTGGCATATTTAGGAAGGAGAGGCAGTCAGAATTCAAGTGTTTTTCTAGAACCAATGGCACTAAAATCAACGTCAGTGTGGGTTCACAAGGAGAGTTCCAAACCCAGGCCATCAACCACATTAGTTTACTTAATGTTAAAGGGAATATAATTTCATAAAGTACTAACCTTAGATGTAACTGTTTGAATTCTCCCTTTAAATACAATATGGCCATTTTCTCTTGTTTCAATTGCACAACAGTAACAGACCTTGTCCAGATCATTTCAATTCAGATAAGACTAATTACAGCCTTTCCAAGGGAAAATACATGGAGAAGTTGATTTCTTCTCATGTGCATATTAGAGGTACTATTCAAGAAGAGAGAAATATTTTAACTGCTTACAGATTCCATTTCTTCAACGTTTTACAAAATGGGGATAGGGAATTTCTTCCTAGTCAAAACAGTGAATGCAATTTGGAGCTATAGACTTAACAACTGATAGCAGAAGAGAGAACAACTAGAAAACAGACGCTATGCTTAAATTTTCTCAGCCTAGTCAGTGGTCCCTCGCACATCATCATACAGAAAATGTTTGTATCAAAATTAAGGTTGTATCTCCTGAGTTTAATTTATGAAAGGGAAAATTTCAGTGTTTGTGTAAATGGCATTTTGGCTCTGCATATTACTTTAAAAGCTAAAACCTCTGAGTAATTACTTTTATTTAGATATTTTCTGTAAGTTAGTGTCAACCTGAAATGTGTGAAAAACAATCTTGTATAATAATTTTGTGTTTTTAGCTTCAGTATAAAGAAAAATAAAGCATTTATTTCCCCTCCCACAAAATGTATGGCTACTTAGAAATAAAGATGTTTTGTTCCTTTTCCAATGTAATCATTTATACCTATTAATAAATGTTGATGGACTGCTTTGGGTTTCACACTATAATTTAACCAGCAGAAATACTAACAGGAGACAACTGTAGTCCAAAATATTTTGAAAAGTATGACTGAGAATCAATATCATTTAAATTTTATAGTTCTTATGTAAAAAGCCATTATTAAGTGCTGAAATAGTAAAACCTAAAATGGTTCATTCACCTCAATCAATTTCAACTACAAATTTTGACTATGTACTTCACAAAAGTAGTTTTATACAGAGCTAGTGAATATTCTTGAGAAGTATAAAATTTTAAATACTCAATTAACTATTGATAGGCTTCCCCAACCTCCTAGATGTCTTGGCAAGATCTGCCTGGACCTTATGATAACTACTCTAAAATCTTATATATTTAGTTATTTTCAATATTTAAAACTATTTCATTAAAAAAAATTTTTTCATACATATATTTTGATCACGTTTCCCTCTATCCTGATTCCTCCTATATCCTTCCTAGGATCCTACCCAACTTTGTTCTTTCTCTCTGTAAACCACACAAGACAACAAAAAGAGAAACATTAAAGCCCTGAACTCTTACTAACTTCAGAAACAAACACCTTCTCCAGTTACCAAGCCATTTTATTTTATTATGAATTTTTTCTAGCACAAGGTAAAATTAGAAAATAGTATAGTGGACCTAAGCTTTAAGGATTAATCACTCCAAAATAGTTTAATCAAATAGTAGTTACCTAAACTTGAGTGGATCTTTTCCTGAAACTATATTTTCCACATGTTCCTGACAAGTCCTATAAGGAAAACTCTTTGATGTTTCAGCTAAGACATGTATTCTAAATCAAGTTGCTTCTATCAAAATTCATTATTCTATAAGATGGAGGGGGTGGAAACTAGATTTGTCTTTTGCTGCAGTAGTTCTCTTACATTCTTAAACTTTTATTGTAAGAGTTAATATAAAATGCTTCAAGAATGTATCATGTACAATGGACTACATCTGTCCCACATTTAGAAAAGCCTAGATTCAGATTAAGCTCTACCACCCTCCCCAACAGACCATTTTGTTATTCATGTAGATTTACATCTGAATTAAGTTTTGAAAGTCTAGTATTCACATTAAAATGATTTGTTTTGTTTACATTTTATTTCCAAAGATAATTAAATGGTTATGCCTTGATTATAGACTTGATTATAGACTCCAACATGCTTTAAATTCACAAGTCTTAAATTTCAACAGTAAAATAATATTAAATTCACAAGTCTTAAATTTCAACAGTAAAATAGACTCAGTATTTTTATCTGCTCTTAATTAAGGCAGAGAGTCACAATTAGTTTTGAGAATAAATATACACAACTTACAATGAATTCTTTTTCTTGCTATGGAAATTACTTCAATTTCTACCTTTAGTATACCAGATTTTTTTTTTTTTTTTTTTTTAGTATACCAGATTTTATCAGGAAAGGAATCCAAACCAATCACAGAACCATTTTATCTCCTCCTAATAATTCAAAATGGCTACTTGGTTAATAATGAAGAGAGGATTAGCTTTTGTAATGTCAAGGACAACTAAAGAGGTAAAATGTTAAAAGACTGGGGAAAGCTCCATCAGCAAAGTGCTTGCCAGAGAAGCTTGAGGATCTGACCTGGAGTCTTAAGCACCCATGTAAAGAGCCAGACATGGTTGTGTGTACATTTCTATTTCCAGGAAGATGGAGACAGATGGATCCCTGGGGCTTGCTGGCCAGCCAGCCAGCCTAGCCTAATTGTTGAGTCCCAGGTCCTAAAGACTCTGTCTCAAAAGAAAATAAGGTGATTGCTTCCGAAGCCTACTACTAGAAGTTGTACTCTAAGCCTGCACATGCATGCACAGCCATGGATATATATACCTATTAACCCACTAAAAAAAGAGGCAGTCTTGCCAGTGTTTCTATTGTTGTCTTGGAATTTTTTAATTAACAAGTTACTTGCTTCCTTTCTGGTAGTTATCTTCAATAATTACTCCAGACTTGGCAGCAATACAGGTTACTCTAACCCTACTGCACCCATAACAAGGAAAAAAAACCTGACTGGAGTATGTAAGCAATGTGGCTTAAAGTAAACAAATTTAAATTTTCAAGGGCAATTATCAAATTATGCTGCATCAACTGGTAATGGAATTTAAGGCAAGGCAACAACTTAAAGTTTGAAATAAAAGCATACAGTACTCACTCATAGGAAGATACTAGATGTAAAACAAAGGATGACTAGACTGCTACTCACAACTCGAGGGAGGCTACCTAGAAAACGGGACACTAAGAAAGACACAGGGATCGCCCAATGACAGAGAAATGGATGAGATCTACATAAGCAAATTAGATGTGAGGTGGGGTAATGAAGGGCAAGGGTCAAGAAACAGGAGATCCCAGCTGGATCAAGAACAGAGAGGGAGAACAAGGAAAGAGAGACCATGATAAATGAAGAAGGGAATAGGAAGAAGTAAAGTGCTAGAGAGGTCCCCAGAAATCCACAAAGACACCTCCACAATAGACTACTGGCAATGGTCAAGAAAAAGCCTGAAATGACCTACTCTGGTGATAGGATGGCCAAACACCCTGTTGTGGTAGAACTCTAATCCAGTGACTGATGGAAGCGGATGCAGAGATCCACAGCCAGGCCCCAGGTGGAGCTCCAGGAATCCAACAGGCGAGAAAGAGGAAGGATTGTATGAGCGAGAATTGTTGAAACCAAGATTGGAAAAAGCACAGGGACAAATAGCCAAACGGATGGAAAACACATGAACTATGAACCAATAGCTGAGGAGCCCCCAACTGGATCAGGCCCTCTGGAAAAGTGAGACAGTTGATTAGCTTGAACTGTTTGGGAGGCACCCAGGCAGTGGGACCAGGACCTGTCCTTAGTGCATGAGCTGGCGGTTTGGAACCTGGGGCCTATGCAGGGACACTTTGCTCACCCTGGGTGACGGGAGGAGGGAACTGGACCTGCCTGGACTGAATCTACCAGGTTGAGCTGAATCCCCAGGGGAGTCCTTGCCCTGGAGGAGATGGGAATGGGGAGCGGACTGGGGGAAGGGCTGGGGGGTGGGGTGGGGGGAGGGAGGACAGGGGAATCTGTGGCTGTTATGTAAAATTAAATCAAATAATAAAATAAAAAAATCTTAAATTAAAAAAAATCCTATGGCAGAAGTGATTACCTCATAACCAAGTAAATCCCAGACCCATGTTCTCAAAATACATTAATACATTCTAAAATACTCTTTAGAAGCTCCTTAGTGAACCAATGACAGAAAAATTGACTTTGATTTGTTTTAGGGTCTCGTGTAGTCCACGCTGGACTAAAACTATGTAACTGAGTCTGGCCTATAAACTCCTGATTTTTTCTCCTGCACTTGCCAAGTGCTAGAATTGCAGGTGTGTACAACCTTGCTTAGTTCTCATTCAATTTTCTTTACTGAAGGTTTCAGATGCATAGTTTTACCAAGATCGAGTACAAAAACTCTGAAATAAATTCAAGAGATTAGCAAAACCTAAGTTTTTTGAAGTCAATAGAAAAGTCTTTATTCCCTGGCCAGCAGGCTATACAGGAAACTTGCCCAAATCATGTAGCCTTTATCATTCTTGGCTTTTTATGCACACACACACACACACACACAAAAAAAAAAAAACCCATGTCCTGAAGTTGAAGTTGACAAACTTCAATTAGCAAGAACAGTTAGCAATAAACAGAGATACAGAAGCCAAAACAGGAAGATTGGTACATTTAGGGACTTCACCAGAACTAGGGACTATGATGGATTAGGTCTTTGATCTCATTTTGGCAGGTGTTGAGGTCCATGTGCTGGGCTCTTAGGTCATAATGGTGCATTGGTGCCTCTAACATGGCATCAGTTGTGCTAAGGCCTGGGTGCCTGTTACATATTAAGTATCTGAGAATAAAAAAGTGAGAAATTTCTCACCCAGTCACTCAAAGATGCAGGGACCAGTCCTGACCAGGAAAGTGTTTTTAAAATACAATTCCACAGAAAAGGATATCAGCATAGAGCAAAGGCAAAAGTGGATGGTGTAGTGATTTGGCCTGAGATAGTGGTTTTTAAAATCAACAGTTGTGAGAAATGCTGGCCCCTTTTTCCATAGACTGCTACTCTAGTCCAGAGTGGCAACCTTTGCACTCTTCTAGCATAATCCTCTTCCCACATTCCCCATCCTATTGTTTAAGCAAAGCTTTATCTAATGAATATCCTGGGACTTGAGATTGCCCCCTTTTCTGATTGGAGGCTTGGACACATAGAAGACCATCTGCAATTTTCCAACTCTCAGAGTTCCCAGACAAGCAGGTGCCAGTTGCCAGCAAGGGGGAAGAGGAGTCTAATGCCTTCTGCTTATCTGTAACTCTATAATGAGCCCTAAGCACACCTCATATTGAAAATTGGCCAAAGTGATTTATTTCTTACAGAAACTAAATCAAAACCCCCAACTACTACTGGGTCCATTTGGAACTCATTATTTCCATCATCCTGAGAACAGGACACTTAGGGCAAGGTATTTTCTTTGTAATGGATCCCATTCTAGCACACCTCACGTCTTCATGTCTCAAATGTTTTGCTGTTCTGTTTGTTTGATTTGGTTTGGGTCTGGGATGATTAAGACTTATTCAGAAGCAAAATTAACCTTAAAAATAAGATGTTATTTGGAGCCAATTAGTTGACTCTGGATAAACACTTGCTGCCAAATTTGTCTCCATGAGTTCAAACCCAGGAACTCACAGATTAGAAGAAAAGAACTCCCACAAGTTATCCTCTAACCTACACATGTATATAGCAACAACTGCAAGCACAACACTCACCCAACACACACACACACACACACACACACACACACACACACACACACACACACAAAGTAAGCATAATTTAAAGAAAACTTAAAAATTAAAAGATACTATTTGTAAATAAGTTCTATAGTAAACGAAGGATTTTTTTTGTTGCCATTTATCTGG